GTCTTCTTCTTCGTCGTGTCTTCTTGCAGGTGCGCGGCGGCTTCCTTAACCTCAGGTCCACTATGGCGGACTATTTCCTTCGGCTGCCACCTCGGCTATGGCGCATCAGGCCCTGCATACGACGGCGCGCATGGAGTAGCGGGTACCATCTCCGATACCAATGCAATCAGACTCGTTTTCAAACACACTTTTCATGGATGTAAACAGCAACGCAGCATACTGGCGACATGCGCCAACTCAAAACTTAGAGATATGGCTTTCATATACGAGTTCACTCTCAATTGGCTATGGCGACTTCAGCGCCCAAACATCTCACTGTTCACATACACTGGATCACCTTGGATATCCCACACGCATCACTCTAACACTCGAACGCACACACACACTCACTACTTACTACAGCTATGGCAGTTGTCGCTGCATCTACCCTATCGCTATGCTAACTCCCTCTCTCTAGCTCACTGCGTCCTCTGGGCTCATCTGCAGACCTCCTTGCACAAGTCGCTTTGGCAGCGCTTCCGCTTGGCTCACGCAGGAATGAATGAACGGTTGGGCATTGCCTCGACATAGAGTGGTAAGTCTAACCAGGAGGGTGGGGTGAGACGACATTGGCCGGTGCTGGAGCATTTGCTCTGTGACCAGGGGGGGCTTGAGGCCATTGGAGTTTTGTCGAGGGTGGAAGGCATAACCATCTCGCCCGACATAGTTGTTCCCGGGGCGGTGACCCTGTAACCTTTTGGAAGGGCTATACAATTAATAGAGGTGTCGAGGGGGGAAGGCACTCTCTGTCCGTCAGAAACAGTTAGATCAGTAATGGGGTAGTTTGTGTTGCCTTGTAACCCTGGCTGGGGGTTCTGAGATCTAATGATTTCTGGTACGAGGACAGAAAGTTTGGTCTGTGACGCGCAACCTCATGCCCTGTGTTGTCTTTCGTTCCGAGTGCTAGAGCTGTGGAAAAGGGGCCCAAAAAAACAGCAAGATGGGGTATGCCAAGGATTTTTGAAAATTGAGTGTGGGGATACAAACGGAACTGAAATCCCCCGTGTTGGTCCCATGAAATAAGTCGACCATTTTTCCTACTTCGCAAACATGCGCGCAAGAGTTCGGCGCGAAACGAGAGAGAAGTACAAATTCAATCCAAAAAGTATTGCCGAACTTCCCACGGTACCGTGCTACAGCCCTTCGTTTAGAGTGAAAAGCTTTCGGCACACTTCGCGTGTCTCGTCTTCGTATTAAGTCCCGACGTCGTTCACTAGTCAGTTCTGAGTCCAACGTGGAGGGCCTCAGTCATGTGGCCCTTTCTCTGTGTTCGTCTTCACTCCGTACACGGTAGTGGAAACTCTTGGATACGTAGCGCTTAAAGCGCTGGCACTCGGTGCATAGAGTGCGAGGCCAGTGGGGCTCTACTGCCGTCCACGGGATGGCGATCAACTCGTTAAATGGCAACAATATCGAGTAAGGTGGAAAGTGTGTATTGATAATGACAAACCCAGCCTCTACGAACCCTGAACAACGATTTTCCGGAGGGAAGTAATATCGTCCGCCGGGGGAGGGGGGAAGAGAAGAAAGCTTCGTATGTGTGGTGCCGTCAACAAAAAGAAAAAGAAAAAGGCACCGAAACTGTTACAGCTTGCCTATGTCCTAAACCAATTCAAAATTGAAATCACCATATCCGCGCGCGAAAAGGACGACGCGAGAAAAGAAAGTCCTCCGCCTATTCGTATCCTCACAAAATTCCGAGAGTTTTCCCTTACGTGACCGAGAACATTCACACACAAAAAGGACACGTCGAAGTTTCGTTTATCCCGAAATTCCTAACTGCTGGGCCCAATTCCCAGTACGCTCGCTAAGGCACGAGTAAATTCCTATGCATTTCCCGAATTGCAAAAGAAAAAGCAGAACCGAAGAATCAGAAAAGCTTCTGGAAAATGGGGCCCAAAACGAGGCGCCCGAAATTAAGAAAACAAACGGGGTGCTTGTAGGGTCGGTATGATACAAGAAAAATTCAAACCAAAGGGGTACGAAAGATAGCACAGGTTCGGGAAGTAGTTCGTCACATATGTGATGCGCAAGGGGTTCCAAAATTATGCGATCTCCTAATTGCATGTCACGGCGAAGAAGGAAGGAGGGGGAAGAGTGATGCATGAGGAACCAAGTGTATCAGCAGAAAATCGAGCCAGAGTTCATGTTGACGCCAACTTCAATTAAAATCTCTTCGTGAGTCTACTGGCTCGTGCTGTTGGAATCGTCGGAGGTCGTCCAGGTGACGCCATCATCGTCCGCTGGTTCTCCGTGTGCTCTGCACCCCAACATAAAAATTCCCACGAGAAATGAAAGTTGAAAAAACATTCCATAAAAAAAAAATCCTTCATATTTATAAATTATCATTCCAACGTTCGGCCAATTCTATAATTTTCAGTTTGATTTGCTAAGTTCCTGTCTAAATATGAGCTTTCTCTTCCAACTAGATCTATTTGTTCAAGATGGAATGGAAGTCTTGACGAGTTTATGAAATGTTTTAATTAAATTTTCATTCTACTACAACAAATATCATCTAATTTAGATTGGATTAACCTATTTATGATTGAAAATCCTTACTTAGAATGACAGTCCAATTAAAATATTTCATGAACTCATCCAAACTTCCATTCCATCTCTAGAATGCAGTCCAAATAAGTAGGGATACCCTATTCTTGGAATGAAAGTTTGCAAGTAAGATAAAAAAATTTAAAATTAGAATGACATTTTTTAAGATGGAATGAAAATTTAAAATTTGGATTGTAATTTTACTATAGAATGATTATTTAATTCTAGGAAATTTTTCCGTTGCCCGGCTCGTCGCTGCCCGTCGAATGAGAGCGTAGGTTGACGTCATCGTCGATGGCGTGATCTTCGCGAAGCTTACTGATTCGTGTCGTTCTCCCCTGTCAATTGGGTGAAGGGAGAGGGGGGAAGGGATAGTCATGCGATTGGGTTTTACCGCCTTGTTGGAATGGGCCAGTAGAGGCGGTACATGGAGGGAAGTCCGCAGGGACGACGGGGAGGAAGTGGGGGTAGGTAGTGATTCAATCATTCTACTGTCACAGGAAGTTCCTCATAGTGAATGATCCGGAGAAAACGAGGAAAGTGACCGCCGCTATGAGGGAGAGAGGCGAGGTAGTCACGGTAGAGGGAGGAGAGGGTGCGGAAGAGCGCTGAGCGAAAGAAATCGTAGTGGCGACAGGCGGGGATCGTCCCCGTGGGTACGTAGTAGACTTTCACTACGTTGCACTGCTCCCACGCAGCGCTGAATAACAGGATATGCAGACAGAACGTGGGGGCAGCGGGCTGAAGGGAGCGGTGCGGGTAGGCGGTAGCGACTAGGAGCGTAGAGTAGAAATCACGGAAGAGATGGGGATGGAAGGGGTGGCGGGGGAAGGTGACAGGGGTGTGGATCTGCTCGAGAGTGAGGTAATCAAGGGGACGGCGGGATAATGTCCAGGGACGAAGGTCTATCCCCCACATCGGTACGTGGATGGACTGGGGGACAGGTGGGGCTGGAGGGGGAAGAGGATCGGCTCCGGCTCCGTCGTGAGGTGCTTGGGGTGGTGGTTGCTGGGTCGCCATCTTCGGGCTTCGGCGGCTCCGGATCCCTGGTTGGATCGTCACCGATGCGTAGACTTGCTTCGTTGGCGAACTCCAGCTGGCGTTTTCCGGTGGTAATTTCTTCCTGCTTGCTCGCTGCCTCAGGATCTTCCGCCTCCGTGCCAATACACGTCGCTTCCTCCGGCAAGGCTTCCCACTCAGACCCAGTTTCTTCTTCCTCTTCTTCTTCTTTTTCTTCTTCTTCTTTGCTTTGCTCGCCCTCGCTATACTCGCTATAGCTTCCCTCTTCCGATCTTCCCTTGTCATCGTCACTTTCCTCCCCTTCTATCACCACCTCCTCTGCCTTTGGATAGAGAGCGTGATTGATGATGCCGTATGGCTTCAGATACTCCTGCCGCAACGGTAGAGAGTCTTCGTCCCAGGTTCTTCCAAGCATGCGCTCCACTGAAGATACGGATCCAACGTTCGCGTGAGTACGTGCGGAGCGGGGCTGTCGTCACTTTGCGAAATGATGTCAGGAGAGAGATCGTCTGCCAGTTGTACGATCGGCGCGATGAGTTCTTGAGCGATTAGCTGGCGATGTCCCAGCCGCACCGATCCGAAGAGAAAACCAAGGAGATCACCCTCCACGTTAGTCCTCCAAGCTTGTATGATCAGTAATTCCAGACTTTCGAAACGCGCGGGGTGCTCGCTGGTCTGCGTCCACGTCACCTGCACTCGAGCCAAACACATGGACAGTTCGATAAAGTTCTCGCGCCAAAGTCGCCAGTGCCTGGGATTAAGAAGCGGGACAGGAAGGGGTTCGATCGAGAGGGAAAGATGAGGATGAAGATCGGACTGCCAGAAGGTAGGGAAAAGAGAGGGGAGACCGAAGATGGAGAGAGGAGCGAGGGGGGCGGCGCGGTTCATCGGGGGCGTGGGAAAGCAACGAGGGTGGGGATCGCAACCGCTGGCTCGCGCGGAGAGAGGCGGACCCCGTCAAGATGAGGTGCAAAGGTCAGGATGAGATTGTGCCCTGGTCGGGCAAGACCGTGCCGCCACACGTTGGACACCTTCTCTGTCCACTCTCGCAGCGAGGTCAAGATCGCGGTATGCCACAGTGGATTGACTGTATTGATGTCGCCGCTGAAAGTCGCGACCGTGGTGACGTGGCTCGTTCCGGGAGCCGCTCGCGGATGTACCGTTACCACCTTCGCCAATACTATTGCCTGCGGACTCCCTTCGAATCGAAACGCGGCGGTTGCACACACACCCACGTTGCAGAAGAACTGCGTCAGACGTCGAAGATCCGTACTAAGCCGTGGATGACGAACTTCCCGAATTTCCGAGATGTGGCCACGTGGCTGCAACAGTTGATCATCGAGAGCCCACTCCGTGATGAAGCTCATGGAGAGGACGGAGAGGAAGACGAAGGGCAGGAGGGAGAGAGCGGAGAGAGAGTTAGATCGTTGTCATTCTCTTCGCCTTCGGAGGAGGAAGAAGGGGGAAGATCAGAGGGAGGGAGAGGTCGGAGGTAGGAGGTATGTCGGACGATGGGGACAGAGCTATGGCTGACACTAGCCTCGTGCGCAATGCGCACCGTCTTGGTGCCGTTGGGTCCGAGCTCGACTACGTGAAAACAGCCAAAAAACTTAGGAGCGAGTTTCCGGTCGCGTGCACATTTACGTATCTTCACTAGGTCCCCTAATTTATATTGATGTTGGGGCCCAACATTTCCATTTCGAGCCTCATAGCTACGGACCTGCTTACCGTGGGCCAGATCGGTCATCCTCTGTCTTTTTCGAGCTAGCTTCGGGACAGCCCGTTCTATTAAATCGGTATACCTTTTGGCCTTGGCCTTGAAGGCGGCACGCGTGTCTCTACCCCCTGCTTCGACAATTTTCGAGTTACCCCGGTAATCGACACAGGGGAGGCTATTAGTGCGAAGCTGAAAGGGGGTGAACCCCGTGGACTCATGAGGGGTGGCCCGGTGAATTCCGACGATCTGATATACGATCTCGGGCCACGGACGCGTGTCATGTGCCACTAAATTCCTGCGAAGGGCGGTTTTAATCATACGGTTGGCATTTTCGGCCAACCCGTTCGACTGAGACACGTGGGGTGCCGTATGTCAGAGCGTGATGCCCCTTCGCGCGAGCAGTTCCTCTACTTCGCCTTTGAATTCGAACCCATTGTCGGTCAGAATTTCTTCCGTATCTAGATGGGTATAGAGGAACCGATCGATGTACGTGGCTATTTCTGTGGCCTTGGGGGTCTTGCAGAGGTAGACTTCGATGTACTTGAAAAATGATTTATTAATACTAAAAGGATAGAATATTCACAGCGGTTTGGGCTAGGTGGCACGTCAATATCTGTAGTGTCCATACTGACTCGCTGGAAGGGGCGTTCTACTTCCATTGGTACTATCGTGTTCGGTCCCCGTACTGGGGCGCGATCATCGGCACAGACCAGACAGTTGGCGACAACGTATCTGACATCATCTCGTATATTGGACCAAAACCATCGGTTCTAGTCTATAGTTGCCTCCGTGACACATATCGCGAAATGAGTAGCCTGCTCTTCATGAGCAGATCGGGTCCAATCATATCTCTGGAATGGATGAGGGACCGTCAACCACGAACCCGATCCGTCAGTTTTACGCTTCTCCAAATGACCGTTGATCCATCGATAGTCCCGAGATCTCTCGGTAGGCCTACGTATGTCGTGTTTGGTGAGGTGATCCAACGATAATCCAGCTAATTTAGCTAATAAAATTTTATCTGTCCAAACCTCCGCTCGACGATATTTCTCGTCATATTCAGGTCCGTCCGTTCGGGCGGCCTCGAATCGAACCTTCACTCCTTGCTACACAGGGGGCACCTCCACTCCTTGCTACTCGTCCGATAGCGAACGCAGGCCCCGTGCGCAGGATTGACACACGTGGCACATTTTACCCAATCGACAAACCCGGTTTCGAAAGGATGACATTCAACCCCACAAACCCGTGCAATACATGTGGAAAAATAACAGAATTTATCGGGGAGGGTGGCAAAGAAAGCAGAGGAGGTGAGAGGGGCAGAATTAGTAGGAGAAGAGGGGGTCGCAGAGACGGGTGGGGTAGTCATGATGGCAGAGAGGAAGAAATGGGACTGAGTTGCATAGGGGGCAGAACAAAAATGGACCCGTGTCACTTACTCCTTTGACAGGATCTCCACTTGGCCGTACCGAGGTCCGTTCTCCTTCTTCGGTTCGTTCCACGGAATCACCTCCTCATTCTTTGGAACCTTCTCAGGTTGGTGCAGTCGTGTCAACCCGTTTGCATTCCCGTGCCTTTCGTGTTTCCGGTGACGAATGTCAAAGTCCATGCTCTGCACCACCGTTGCCCATTGCCCGATCATGCCCGAGTAATCCTTAGATTTCTTCAGGGCTAGCAGAGGCTCATGATCGGTTACCAATGTGAACTTCCGCCCGTACAAGTAAGCTCGAAAGTGACTGATTCCCCAAAGAGCCACGTAGCATTCTCCTGTTGGAGCGGCGTAGTTACGCTTGCAGGTGGGCACCGATTTGGAGGCATACTCCACCCTGTTCTCAAGTCTGCTTGGTCCCACCTGGGCCAAAATCGCCGAAATTGCCTCTGGCTGCCAGTCAGTAATGAGGACAAAAGACTTTTCGGGATCCGGCCTTATAAGGACCGGGGCCGAAATAAGGGCGGCGTTGAGTTCCGAAAACGTTTGATCACACTCCGGCGTCCAGATCAACGACAGGTCCTTTCGCAGTAGATTCGTGAGGGGTCCCACAATCGCCGCGAAGCCCTTGATAAACCTTCGGTAGTACGAGGCCAGGCCCAGAAAGGCGCGAACTTGCGTAATAGTCATAGGCACCGACGCATCTCTGACAGTCGCCACCTTTTGCGGCTCCGGTCTAAGCCCCTGATCTGTTACCACGTGTCCCAGGAAGGAAATGGTGGTAAGGAAAAACAGACACTTCTCAAACGCCACCTTGAAGCCAGCATCTCGTAACGCATGCAACGCCCATTCGATGTGTTGCACGTGCCCTTCATAAGAACTCGAGTACACCAAAATGTCATCCATGTACACAATCACGCAATAGTTAATTATACTCTGCGCCAGACGAGTCTTCCGCACAAAGTTATGAAAGGTCATGTTCATGGCTCGCTGGAAAGTTGTGGGAGCGTTGCAGATGCCCATCGGACATCGAATCCACTGCCACGTACCTTCGAAGAGTACGAACGCAGTCTTCGGGCGATCCTCTTCTCGAACAAGAAGATGATGTAACCTATGGCGAACATCAAACTTGCTGAAAAATTGAGCACTCTTAATCGCATCCAACAACTTGTCAATCCGGGGGAGAGGGTACACATCCTTGATCGTGATATCATTCAACTTTCGATAATCGATGCAAATGCGAATTCCTCCGTCCTTTTTAGGCACAATCACTACGGGAAAAGACCATGGTCCTATAGCGGGTTCGATCCATCCATTAGCTTCAAATTCTTTGATCCGCTGAAAAGCGGCCGCTCTTTGAGCTGATGAGTACCTATAAGGAATGCAACGAATGAGTGGATGATCCCCCGTGAGAATGGTATGTTCAATCACGTTAGTTAGGCCGATATCATTATCGCGCACACTCAATACTTCCACGTAGCCATTCAAAACACTAATTAGCGACTTTTGGAGTTCGGTGGGGACGTGGTTTGGGAGGGAGATTGTTGGTCGTCCAGGGATCTGAAGAGATATGTCGACCCAATCAGCCGGCCTTTCCCGTCGCTCATGGACACTGGAAAAAACGGAACTACTGGTGCGAACAGAGAAGACAGTCGCAATCATCTATGATTCAGCAGGGCTGATCATTTTGGTTTCCTTGGCTTCGGCGTCAGTCTCTGAACTGGCCGATGTTTTTTCCACAGTTAGTCCTGTTAGATCCGCTATCTCCTGCATCAGATCGGGTACGTCGCCTACCAGTGCTTCGGCCTCTTGTTTGATCAAAGCGATGGTCGCTCCCATTGTTAGCAAAGATCTTGGTGGGAAAACAGAAACATCCACATATTGTTCTGTCTGTTGGTAGCGTGCTCGTAAGGAAAGCGCTCCCTCGTACAAGGTCCGAGGGGGTTCCAAATCATCTGTTAGGTCAGATACTTGCAGGATGGGTTCCCCGAGGAGGGTTGAAGGACTAATCCGGGTTTCTAGAGGCGCGAGCGCGCTGTCTTCCGAATCCACGTGGAAGCTTCAGGCGGTTCTGGGGCACACTCGAAACTCTTCAGGGATTTCGTACTCGAAAAGTTCGACCAGGTGCTTCCATTCATCCTTACTAGGCATTTCCTCTTCGTACACTTGTTCCCCGATTCCGCTACTGATGTCCGAGGAAGAAGGTTCCTCATGATCGAGGCCTTGAATCATCCCTACTTAGGCAGAGTTAGGAGTTCGTTTTACCGTCCGGGTGGAAATCCACAAAGGGACAGTCTGAGGTTTTCCCCCACACCAGTTGTTTGGAGTCGAAATGCAGACGATCACCTACCGCCATCGCCCAAGGTAATCCTGACAACACAGAATAGGAGCGCACATCTATCACTAATGCGTTAACAAGGACGTGTACTCGTCCCACCTTCACAGCCGTATTCTCAATGATACCTACGATGTTCATTGCTTCCTCGTCGGCAGAGACATAATTGTCTTTGCCAGATTGAGGAAGAATGGATCCGAGTCGTCCTGTCTTTCTTACTGTGTCTAAGGATATGGGCACTGCGGAAGACCCAGTATCGATAAGGGCGTTAAACGGTTTGCCCCAAACTTCACAATCGCACTCAACGCTTTTCCACAACACTGGTCGAGCTCGTACAAAGTGATCCTTCTCTGCCAACGAAATCGCAGTTACTCGTGTTGCTTCGGGTTCACCTGTTTCAGGTTCAGGCGGTGCAACCTCCTCATTTCCTTCCTTCTTCTTCAACATTCACTGTACTCGTTGGTACGTGAAGCGCTTTTGATTTTTCTGGCAATGTTGTAGGAGTTTATCATTTGCAGCTTCGGAGATGGTGAGCAAATTCCCTACCGGGATAGGGACACGGATATCCAGCTGCTTAAGTGCTCGTAATACATCAATTTATCCCGTTCGAAACTGTGGACCGGGATTGGATTCGCGATCGGCCTATTCAAGATCATCATGGGCCGATCAGATCGCTCTGACCATGCCGGCGAGATGAAGGTACTCGAGTGGATCGACCACGTCAACAACGTCGGAGGAGGAAGAAGCTCCCGAGGTTGAAGCGACTATCGAGTCTGTCGTTGAGGGGAGGGTTGCTCATATGCAACAAGTTCCCCTCCTTGGGCCGTGTCCATCAGTGCGGCCACCCGTCCTTGGTTTAGAGCCACAGGGGCCGCGGCTGTTGGGGGTTGATTACGTTTCGGTTGTGGACAGTCCCGCACAAAATGTCTGGGCTGTTTGCAGTTAAAACACTCGACCTTTCCTGTTGGATTAGCAGGGTGAGGGAACTGTGGGGCGTACCCAGGTGTAGGAGGGGCAGGCAAGAGGGGAAATGACGCGGGGGCAGGTCGAGCAAGGACCGGGTAGGGCTTAATTAGCCTGCTCATTATCTGTTTCATCCGCTCCATGTGAGCTGCCTGCATTTAAACCTGGTTGCTCATCCATTCAGATTGTTTGGTGGTAGCCGTATGGATCATTTGTGCAAGATGTAGGTTTGTTACGGCCTTAGAGGGAGAATCGTTGGGGATTCTGCTTTTAACTGCCGCTACCTTTGGATTCGTTGGGGGCAAAGACGACGAAGCTAACGGGATATCAGAGGCGGTCCCGTCGGGGAGGTCATGGGGGCAAAACCGTTCTACCGCCCGTAACCACAATCGTCTTTTAGCTGCTACATCCTGTATCATATCTGTGATGTCTTCGTCTCCCTGACTGATATATTTCTTTGTATCGGCCAGGTCTAACTCGAGGGCTTTAGCGATGATAGCCGATAGTTGGTGAGTTTTCGGGGGAACCTTTTTCTGTAACTTCCCTTTCAACGTCGGACTTCGTAGATGATCGATGAACAAATCTCGAGTGGATTTTTCATCTCGCCCAGATTTATCCAATGTGGTTTGAAATCGATCCACGAAATCAGGCAGCAATTCCCCTGGTCCTTGCGGACGATTTTTTAGTACGTACCAGGCGGCATCTTCACTGACCGTATTGAATCAGGCCAGAACGCTTGTTTGAAAGTATTCCAATCTACCCACGTGTGCTTTCTGAACCAGTCATGCGACATATTGCGAAGTAGCAAGGTAAGAACGCGGGGAAGATCACTCGCGCTGTATCCTTGAGCTTCGACGGCTTCCAACCAAGCTTCGGGGTGGGTATGGTTAGGGAAGAAGGGGAAGGGGGCAGGAATGTTAACGATCACTCTATTACCGTCTGCCATTGGCATGGCGGGTACAACCACACCAGATCGAGACCTGGTCACTGGGCGGTCCCTTCGAGCTGGTTGAGGGCTTCTTCTTCCTCTCGCCAGTTCGACTTACTATCATCAGAACCGACATACGTCGGCTCCGATACGAACCTCACGCCCTGTGCTGTCTTTCGTTCAGAGTGCTCGAGGTGCGGAAAAGGGGCCCAGAAAAACAACAAGATGGGGTGTGCCAAGGATTTTTGGAAATTGAGTGTGGGGACACAAACGAAACTGAAATCCTCCGTGTTGGTCCGATGAAGTAAGTCGACCGTTTTTCGCACGTCGCAAAAATGCGTGCGAGAGTTCGGCGCGAAAGGAGAGAGAAGTACAAATTCAATCCAAAAAGTATTGTCGGACTTCCCCCCGTGCTACGGCCCTTCGTTTAGAGCGAAAAGGTTTCGGCACGCTTCGCGTGTCTCGTCTTCGTATTAAGTCCCGACGTCGTTCACCAGTCAGTTCTGAGTCCGACGTGGAGGGCCTCAGTCGTGTGGCTCTTTCTCTGTGTTCGTCTTCACTCCGTACGCGGTAGTGGAAACCCTTGGATTCGTAGCGCTCAAAGCGCCGACACTCGGTGCATAGAGTGCGAGGCCAATGGGGTTCTACTGCCGTCCACGGGATGACGATCAACTCGTTAAATGGAAACAATATCGAGTAAGGTGGAAAGTGTGGATCGATAATGATAAACCCAGCCTCTACGAACCCTGAACAACGATTTTCCAGAGGGAAGTAATATCGTTTGCCGATCCGTGCGACAGCTTCTCGTACGTCCCACTCGCATACACGTGTCATTTCCTTGTCGTAAGGAAAAGGTTGCGTTGATACGGGAGATACGGGAGGTTGACGCCCGATCGAAGGGCGTTTGTCAGTCCACATGTCAATCAATTGCAAAAATCCCGAGACGTCATCAAGGAAAAACACTCGCACAATTATTTTCGACACGAGAGAGAGAGAAAAAAAAAAACACTCATCAGCTTGATCATGCATGTAACTGAGGGACCGACCCGCGACTCAGGTTTAGTAAGCCACCGCGGCGTTGATCCCAGGCGCCTTGTTTCTCGAGGCTGCCCTGTAGATCAGTATGTGCGAAAATGACAGGGGTACACAGGTCGGAAATCAACCGAGGGAATTGTACACACGCATCCACCGTTCACAAGACAAGAGGATCAATTCCTCGATGTCCAGGGATCACCCAGGGAACTAATGGAAGAGTTTCGGAAGGAGTTCCTTCACACAGGAGAGCACACAAATTCATTCCCAGTCATGAGAGGGACAAGCATCAAGACATATCGTCATTCAAAGATAGAAGAGAGAGAGAGAGAGAGAGAGAGAAAGAGAGAGAGAGAGAGAGAGAAAGAGAGAGAGAGAGAGAGAGAGAGAGAGAGAGAGAGAGAGAGAGAGAGAGAGAGA